TCGATGGAAGAATTTTCAGCAGATAATGGACAGATTCTGAAATGTGATTTGAGAACACTGATATGGAAGGTGAGCAGTAGAAAGTAAGCAAGGACTGAGAGCTCTGAACCTAGGCAGGAGGTGGATGTGACCACTGCCTTGGGGACATGAGGGGTGACCTTCCCTCCCTGCTTCATTGATTGGAGATGAAAAGGAACCCTCAGGACAGAGAGCCAAGGGGAGGGGGAGGGGCGAGCCTGGGGTCCCTGCAAACACTCTGCTCCCGCAGGAGAGCTCAGTGCTCCCTCCTGGCCCTGGAGCGCAGGGGCTGCGTCTCACACGGTTTCCACCTGACTCTGTGTCTCTGTGAGAAGTGGGTCTTTCTCTCTCCCTCTCTTTGGGGTAAATCATTTGGGTCATTTTTCCCTCCTCAGAGCACCTTTGATGCTGGGGATCAGTCTCCTCTTCCAACTCTGGAGATTCTTCAGTATGCAGACAAGAATGACTTTCGTGAGCCTTTTCCTTAGAAGGCAGTAAACACACACACTTTAAATACCAGCTGTGGTAGCACCATCTGAATGGTTGAGGGACCCTTGAACAGTCTGCGGCTTCTGTTGCTCTCACTTCCCTCAATTATACCCCAGTGATACCAACCCCACCCTCACAAATGTGGTAGACTTCACCTAATCTGAGATACAGGGGAAAGGAAACCAGCCATTCAGATTTAAGTGGACACATTGGAGGTCTGAGAACATGAAAAGCAGAGATAACTTGTCCAATGAAGGAAGGCTCAAACTCGGACCACATGTGTAGAGCCATGTGGTCATGACAGAGACTCTCTCCGTGCAGTGGGCAGATTGTGGACACAAGAACACATGGTGCTGGGCCAGCTGGGAGAGCGTAGGGAACACAGGGGACTTCATACCTGACTCACACCATTACCTTTTTTTTTAACCTCCAATCCTGTCATGTTAAGCTTCACTTTGGGAGGGAAGGCGTGGCTTTGGGAGGGGCTTGCCAGCCATCCTAGGGCTGGCCTGTGCTTTAAAGGAATCCTAATCCAGCTGCAGGGGTTTCCTTGGAGCCAGGCTGAGGTGAAACCAGGGGTCCCCTGCTTTTACCCCAGTCAACACCATGTTTTCAAGGCATTGTATGGGGTGCATTCATGGTCCCCCCGCCCACTGCAGCCCAGGATGCCAGGATCTGGGTCACAGAAGGAGGTGACAATGTCTCACAGCAACGTCATGTTTCCAGGCTTCTTGTCCTGAAGCATCAGCTCAGAGTCCCCCTACCCACACGGCCCCATGGACAGAGAACCATGATCTCCCATGACCATGGTTGTCCACAGACTCACCCCCCGATTCCACACACACACCTGTGCACACAAACACAGACAGAAACACCGACACACTCACACCCACACCCATCCAGGCACCTACGTCCAGGAAAAAAACAAGCTCACCTTTTCTGTAGTATTAATTTTAGAATAAAAACAGAAGTGTTTGTGGAGAGTTATCTCTATGGGCTTTCCTGTGTGAACACACAGAGAATAAACCATTATGTCCTTATAAGGGACACTGCCATTTTTGAAAATGTCACCTGTTATTGACAAGGTATTTGCATGCACACTCACACAGTCTGACAGGAAGTTTCCATAACTGCCTGTGATCATAAAATTACTCAAGTCCCAGGATCGTGTGCATGTTCCTCAGGTCTCATGTAACACACAGCTGAGCAGAGCCTGTCACCCAAGCTGGGATGAGCCTCCAGGTCAGGGGGTGCTTGGCCCCAGGCTCAGGGCTCTAGTCAGCTCCCAAGTATGAGCCGTGTTGTTCCTGCACAGGATGCACTTGCTGGTTTTGTTCAAATACTCTTTCAAGACAAAGGTTGGGAAAAGAAAAGATGTAAGATTACCAGCATCTTCTAAAAAAAAGCTACCACTCCCAAAATACTTTATCTAGAAAATAGGCAAATAAACCAATACAAAAGTGAAACGGGATCAACGTAAAGTAGCATCTTGTTTTAGAATTATTGGGTGGACGGGGAAGCAGAACTCTGTCTCTGGGCACCTGGTGATAAACTTGCCCCTGTCAGTGTGGCCACAGGCCACTTTCAATGGCTTTCTCTCCACAGACTTTTGGGGCATCTGGTAACCCTGCTCTGTGGGGAGTCACGCAGAACTTCCTTTCACTCCAAGTCAGTCCTGTAGCCCACAGGTGAGCCTGTACTTCACTGGACCACGGAGCCCACCTTCCAATGATACAAAAACACTGTTCTGTCTAAATACATCTTCCAGGCTGTGCTCCATATTGGGGGCTTCCCCTTTCTACGGATGACCCTCCATCAACATGGTTGTTTTGTGTTCAGCCTGGTGGACCGTGAGCCCTTACATGTGTTCCAGGGAGATGAGAGCATTCGCATTGCTTCCTGATTCCCTCACCTCAGGGTTCAGGTGCTGCCCAGGGACTAATTTTGCACCTTTGCAGCATATTGTGGGGGAGCCAGGGTGATTGCTGTAGGGATTCAGCAAAGTTCAGGGCACAAGAATTCCCCAGGTGGGAGAGGACCTAGGAAGGGCAAACACTTCAGAGTCCTGATGGAGGGAGACTCAACAAGGATCTGAGGACATGGACAGAGAGATTCCCTCAATGGCCACACCTGTACAAGACTGTCACCTCGGGTTTGTTAAAAACTGCTGCTCAGTGGACAAGCCATGGGCCTGACGGGAGCTTGGCCACTTCAAAGCCCTCTACATTCGAATGGGTGGTATTGGGGGCGGGAGGAAGGAACTGCTCCTCAGAGAGGGAAATGCTTGGCATGTCTCTGTGGCTGGAACATGCTGGCGGCACCATGGCCATGATGACTTTTGCTCTATTCTGGGTCCCACAAACCCCTGAGGGGGCACACCACAGGGTTTACAGTCAGAGCTGTCCCTGAATCACAGAGTCCCGAGAGTTGTCCCGCTGCTGCTTCACGCAGCTCATGGTCCGGGTGTGGTGGAACGTGGAGAGCCAGCAGCTACAAGTCAGCCTGCTGGGCGTGGGAGAGTGGTGGCAACAGAGCCTCTGGGGTAGGGGTGACTGAGACTGTGAGAGAGAGACGCTGGAGTGAAAGCGAGGTCTACACTGAAACGCTCAAGAAATCTAGGAGAGTGCCTGGTGCAGGAACAGCGCATTCTAACACCAAGAGCTGAGCAGGAGTTTTTATGGTATGCAGCAGTTTGAGGGTTGTTTGTGTGGATACTGATTCAATTAGAAAATAAAAGAATAAAGGGTTAGAAGGGGAGGTCATCAGAAGCCAACGTTCCCAGGGGCACTGTGTCCTAAGAACAAAAGTTTGGTTTTTCTCCAGAAGATAGTGGGTACCAAAAAAATGTGCAAGCAGCAGGTGGTAGTCTCAGAGTTCGTGTGACACTCTATATGGAAGAAATTTTCATGAATTAAAGACACAATAAGACATTCCAGGATGTTCTTCTTGTTGCTCACATTTCACTAGACATGGTAATCTCATAACGGATGTTGATTATGACCATTTCCTGTAGGTCTCTTGCATCAGACGGAGACCCATAAGAATGTGGACTCTTTCTTTCTGGGCATCCTCAGTCTGGGAGAGCTACCACACGCTGCAAAGACAACAATGTGCTGTAGCTGCTCTGTGGTGTGTGACCTTCAGCAGCGACTGTATGTGTAGTTGCTGAGAACTTGGGTCCAGGCTAGTGTAGCTGGGGAAATAAGGCCACAGATTTATTTAATCTGGATATTTATCCAAAGAAAATGAAAACACTAACTTAAAAGGACATATACTGCATTATTTATGATAGCTAAGATATGGAAGCAACAATGTGCTCATCAATAGATGAATGGATACAGAAGACATAGTACATATATACGATGGAGTATTACTCAGCCATGAAAAAGAATGAAATCTTACCTTTTGGGACAACATGGATGGACCGAGAGGATATTATGTTAAGTGAAATGAGTCAGACAGAGAAAGATATACGCCATATGATTTCACTTATTGGTGGAAGCTAACAATAAAACAAATGAAACAAAACAAAACCAGAAACTCATAGAAAAGGAGGAGAGATGGATGGTTACCAGAAGGCAAGGATGGAGGATGGGTGAAATGTGCAATAGGAACATAGTCAATAGTATTGACATGAGTTTACTCAGTGACAGATATTGCAAGAATTAGTGGGGTGATCACACTGTACAGTATAAAAATATCCTATCACTATGCAGTACATCTGAATCTGATATAACTAATATGAGTGTATACCAACTACACTTAAACAAAGAAATAAATATAAAAATACAGAAAATAAAATAAAGTCCTGGCTGTTGTAGCTCAGTGGGTTGAGTGCCAGCTTGCGAAAAAAAGGGTCATGTGTTCGATTACCAGTCAGGGCACATGCCTAGGCTATGGGTCAGGTCCCCACTAGGGGGCACATGAGCGGCAACCAGACATTGATGTTTCTCTTCCTCTCGTTCTCCCTCCCTTCCCCTGTCTAAAAATTAACAAGTAAAATCTTAAAAAAATAAAAAAAATATGTTAAAAATAATTTAATCTAGAGCAGATTAAGTTTCACTAATTTCAATTGAAGTAGCCATAGATTTCTAATGTCTGCCATCCTGGACACCACCGACGTGAAATATACTTCATCTCTGCAGAATTTTATTGAAGAGTTAGAAGAAATTACTGGCAGAGTCCATACATGAGCCTTTCTAGAGTTTGGTTTGGCAGAATTTCAGAAAAATGTAGGGCGGTAGTGATCAGACTTATAGCATGTATGGGTGAGTACACAACATCTCTGGAGGTGGCTGGGTACTTACAACAGCCCTACAACAGCTGAGCTCTTACGAAGAGGTCGTGGGATTCTGAAGATGCTCCTTCAAGTCTGAGGCGCCCCTGCTGTCACCTGGAGATGTCAGGCTGGGTTTGAGAGGGAGAAAGAGCATTGCTGGAGGGTCTCCTCCCAGAAAGAGACCCAGGTCCTTGCTTGGCAACACTCTGTGTGCTCAGAGCCCAGGTCCAGGCTCGGCCTCAGCATGGGCTTGGTTTACTTTGAGTTCCATGTAGATGCTGGGCTCAGTGGAGACATTCTTAGGACTCCGGGAAGAGGGCGTGAATCCTCTCTGTTGGGGAGTCAGCAGGGCATATATCACATTGTGCGTGTCTTCTGCTGCAGGGTCCTGGGGGAAGAAAGGTAAGAACCATGGGCTGAGGCTTGATGCTTGGAGGCAGGATCATGGGTCGTTTGGAGGAGCTGAAGATGTGGTCGGTGTTTGGGCAGGGAGAACTCACCTCGCCATTCATCGTCTGGCCTTTCTTGGGCTCTGGTTCCCTAAAGGCAGCACCTGTGAGTGGAAGAGTGAGTCAAGACTCGTGGGAGGGCGATTCCTGATTGTCACACTGAGATCAGGACATAACGGCCAAAAAGAGGGAGAGGTGTACCCAATGTTGCTCAGCCTGTCTACCCCACTAATTCCAGAATTGTCCCGTCAACACAACCGGGCATACCTTGACTGTCCCTGGGTCCTGTCCTAACCCATCACTGCACCCTACACACTCTCTTGTAGACCATCCTCAAGAGAGTGGAATCCCCATTGCTGAGGAGGAGGTTGGGGAAGGGTGGTGGCGGCTGTTGAGTTGAAGAAAAGAATGGGGGCCCCTGGGTCCCTCTGGAAAATCCTCCATCAAAAAATCTCAACAACAAAACCACAGTTCAACCCACAGGAAGTGAACATGCATCTCTGTGCTCCAACCACACCGCCCACATCCACTCAGGTGACACTAGACTCTCCTCCTTCAGACTTACGATTTTTGATAGAACACCAGTAACACACAAGAGCAGCGAGGAAAACAGCAATGGAGAGGAAGGCTGTGGAAAATCCAATGAGAGTGTACAGCTTGCTGGAGTTTTCTTGAGGAAGATGTGCCTCTGTCAACAAGCAAACGAGAAAGCCTCCATTTACTGGTTTCCTATTCATGCTAATACACCCTGGATTCATGACATACCTTGAGTCAAACTGTCCCAACCTCCCTAAACACGATCAATCTCTTTATGTTCCAATATGTATATAAAATTCAGAAGAAGTGGTAACAGAGGTCCAAAGCAAAGAGACAGGACAGACAAGCAGAGGTCTGATCCAGGTCTACCAGGCTCTGAAGTGCTTTTGGTTGCTGCCCCCTAGATGGGACATTATTCTTTTGCATGAAAAGGATCTCCCTGCATCAACCACAGGTGACTCCCCTTCCCCCGGGCTCCTCCTCTCCCCACCCCAGCTGCCCATCCTGAGACCTGAGGAGGAAGAAGGTCATGCCTTTATTCCAGGGTCCTCATGTGGAACTTGCTCTGAGGAATCTTGATCACTGTCCCCAAAATGATTAAGAGTGGGGTCCGTGGAGGTAATCACAAGATGGAGAAGTGAGTCCAAAAAGGGATAAATCATATATGGAGCCACATCTCTGTGCCTGGGCCCTTCTGCGGTCAGGGGACTATCACATTTTTGAGCTCCTCTTCTCCTCAGTGAAGCCGTGGAGGGAGCATTATGAGTTTTACGATCCAGCTGAGAGAATTTACTCACTAAGACTAGAACAGCTATCAGTAGAGCCCCGGACGGTGACTCCACCCATTTGTCTCTGGAGGACGCCAGGCTCCCTGCCCGCCTGGGTGTTCCTTTCTCTGACAGCCCAGGCACGAGTTTCTGCCCAGTGCTGCAAAGGCTGCAGAGAAAAAGAAATACGACCAAGGTCCCCCAGCTGAGAAATACGAGACCTGTGGTCTGCAAGGTCCTTCCTGATGAGTCTACCTCTGAGTCCATCTGGAATGCCCTTCTCAAGTCCTTCCCCCGCACCTTCATGGCTACGCTGACAGGAGTTTTCTCCACCAGGACTGGCCTAGTCTCCCGCCACCCTTATGGCTTCAACTCCTGTGCCCCCGACTAAATTCTGTTCACACCTGCAATTTGCTCCTTCTAACGTGTCATGCACACCATGCCACTTTTCTGATAGACACCGTCGAATGTCTCCCAGTTTCAGGCAGAAAAAAAACCCAAGCTCTTTTCTTGCTTATCGACCTTTTCCCAAAGCTGCCCCTTGTCACCCTGTTCCTCTCCACCTCACTCGTCACATGTCCAGGACACTGGTGGTTTGAACACTCCAGCCTCATTACTGTGTTGGCTTCATGACATTTACCATTCCTTCGGTCAGGAATAGCCTTCTGCCCATCGTTCACTGTCATTTGACGGCATCTGAAATGTCGCCCTCAGAAGGGTCTTCCCTGCTACTCATTCTAAGCTGCCCACGTCTGCTTTGTCTATTGCATGACCTAGCTCAATGTACATAAATGACTGAATCAAAAAACTGTCATGCATTTATTCATCATACTATTTCCGGCCTCCCCCACACACCCAAAGTATGATCGGCACGAACACACGTTAGCTGTGGGATATTGAGCTCACAGATTTCTAACCGAGGGACAGTGAGTACTGAGGGCCGTCCCTGAAGTCTTTTCCGCCCCTGCTCATGCCCATCGGCACATGACTTTATGGAGGGAGGATAGAAGTCTCTCCTGAGCATGGGATTGGAGTCACTGTTACCCCCTGGTCCCAGTTGAGAAGCACGACCAGCCCAACGCCTTCTCTGCTTCCCATGCTGAGCACAGTCAGCAGTGCTGACAAAGGACGTGTATGTCAGCAAGGGACGTTCACTAGGCCAAGGTCACAGAGCAGGGGCCGGGCAGAGCCACGCATATGCAGGAGCCTTTGCCTTCCAGGCGCCATGCACCAAATTTAAGAGACCCCCTTGCTCACCTTTCGTGGTGCTTGGCTCTCTAGCTGACAGGAAAGCACTTGTAGAAGATTCTAGGGAAAGGAACAGAGAGGTGTCGCCAGGTGTCCCCTTTACGCCGCTGAAGTAGGACCAGTTTTTCCTGAAGGGGTGGCTCCCAGCTCACCCCCTACTCTGTCCTGTCCTGTGGGGCCTTCTGGGCTTCCACCTGAGTGCCTTGAGCAAAGACCCCCTGAGATGGGACAGTGGAGAGGGGCAAAGTAGGATAAGCCTGGTGACAAAAGACAGCTGTGGTCAGGAAACATGTCCCCTTGGTGATATATTTCGATGCCCCTCAGTGGGGAAATCACATGTGTGTCAGAAGGTGCTTCTGGGAAACAAATAAGGGTGAGAGGCTGGGCAACCTCTGTACTCCCCAAATTGCACCCAGCCCCTCCCCGTCCCGGACCCGCCCTGTCCCCCTCCTTCACCTGCCTGGATGCATACGACCCCCCTGCGGACATCCATACAGCAGGCGAAGGGAGGTTTCAAGGGCTCTGCCTCCCTCCCTCTCTTTTCCTCCCTGTGTTCTCACTGCTTCCTTCCCCCCAGAGTCCCTGGGATGCCTGTCACCAGCAGCGTGACCTTCGGATGGAGCTGCGTGATTCAGCGTCTCATAAGCCTGGAACAGGTACGAGGTTCCTCACCTGTGACAACAAGGTGCAGCGGGTCGCTCGGGTCTGACCACGCATAGGGAGAGTGACCGAAAGAGCTGTAGCATCTGTAGGTCCCTCCGTGGGCTGAGGTCGCCGGGCCCAGCGGGAAGTCTGCCTGGAACAGGCCATGGTGACTCTGCCCTCCGGCCGGCCAGCACCCGTGGGCCTCGTGCGCCCTGCAGAGATGGTACAGGTCGCTTCGACTGTCGGAGTGGCAGGACAAGGTCACGTTGTGCCCTGACGTCACCGTGGGGCCTGGCTGAGCTGAGAGACTTGGTTTCTTCTGTATTCCTAGGAGAAACAGAGACCTTGCTCTCAGCCCACAACGTACCCTGTCCTTGGGCAAGAATGAAGAATTCTCTCTTCCGGGCCTGCAGTGCCCGCTCTGTGTGCCCTCTAGTGTCCCTCAGTCTCCCCTTGACGTCTGCAATGCCCACTCCTCTGTGCATGCGTGTGCGCGCGCACGTGCGTGTGCATACATGTGTGTTGGCCTCTGCTTTTCGCTGGCCCTGTCCTGTTTTCTGCAGGCACCCCCGTCCTTAATGTCCCTCAAAGCCGAGAGACCTGGGATTGTCTCGAATGATGGAACCGGCAGCACCCTCCAGGGAGTCTCCCAAGCATGGACTGAGCTTAGGCTTCCTCCTCGGAAACGGAGAGGTCATGGCGTGAAAAGTGCCAGGGCCTCCCCTCGTTCCCACTGCGTGAGCCCCTCGTTCTGCAGGGACTGGTCGCGCGGCCCTGCACCCAGGTGTCGGGAGTGACCGCTCCTCCCTGTTTGTGCCAAAGGACCTGTTACGCCACGGTACTGGGCGACTCCTCTGGGTCCTAGTCTCTCATCGGGACCTTTCGCGGAGCTGCCTGAGGGGTGTCTGGTGCGTCGCTGTGTTCTCGCCGCCGCAGAGGAGGGGGGTTGTGGTGTCAAAGCGGGAAGCTAACTCCCAGGTGTCTCTCTGTTTCTGAGCTGGAGAAACAGCCCTCATCCCCCGTCCATGTGTCTTTTGGTCCAACTTTCTCATCCTCTGTCTGTCTCTCTGCCAATGTTGCCCCCGTAAGAAACGCCCGAACCTGTAGGGAAATCTGTGAGTCTACTTGAGACAAACTGATGACACTCGTCAGGAACAAAATCCAAATAACTTGAGAAAATGCTCCAAAGAATGGAAATTTTGCACCTTATTTTATAAAGTACAATGAAAAGAGTCAATCTACTTGATTATTTATGTGCTGGTGTCATGTTGTTTTTATTGCTGAGACTTTATAATGAACTTACAATTTTAGTATTTTATAATGGATTTTGACATTTTAAAAAAATAAATAAAATCTGCATTTAAGAAAAAAAGAAGAAAGAAAGAAGGAACTCCTACCTTTGCGACAACATGGATGGAACTGGAGAATATTATGCTAAGTGAAATAAGCCGGTCAGTGAAAGACACATACCATATGATCTCACCTATAAGTGCAATCTCTTCAACAAAATAAACTAACGAATGAAATAAGCCACAGGCAGGGAAATATGGAGCAGACTGAAAGTGACCAGAGGGGATGGGGAAAGAAGACAATGGTGGAAAAGAGGGGAAGGGACTAGACAAAGAACATGTATGAATGGCCCAGGGACATGGACAACAGAGTGGGAACTGACTGTGGGAGCAGGGGGTGGGGGTGGGACGGGTGGAGGAGGGCAAAGGGGGAAAACGGAGACAAGTGTAATAGGATAAACATGATGTAAAAATTAAAATGAAAATGAAAATTAAAAAAAAGAAATTATAAAACATAGTATGCCAGCAGGGAAAAAAAAAGAAGAGTAGGCCTAAATGAAATCCACTGGTGATAGCTTAAGGAGGCGGGAGGAAGCAAAGTGGTGACCTCTGGGATTAGACGAAAAGTAAGATGGTAGACGCATCTTTTACACGGGAGTGTACAGGTCGTTAATAGTCAACATGTAACATGATAACAATAACAAGGAGGGGACTCGTGGTCTTCCCTGGTGCAGTGCCTGTGTTCTGAGGGGTCTGGAGAAAGGAAACCCACCATTCCAAAGGTATGTTATCACCGATGCAGAAAGACAACAGACAGGCTCAGTTAAGATATAAAGACTGACCTTTGTTAGGGAAAAATACCAGCCCGGGGCATGACTCCCCGCCATGGCCTGCTTCTAGTTAGAAAGTGTTTTGCATCAGACCACCTATGTGGGTACTTTAGGTCCCCAGGTTTGTAAGGCACTGCACAGGCCTCCCCTGAGCTTGCCAGGTGTGATATGTGGCCCCTTTTCTTCCACAATGTGTCTTGGTTTTCTTTTTGGCTTACAACACGTTCTCCATTTTTTCTTCTTTTCCCTTGACAATCCTCCCCGCTCCCCCGCGCCCCGCCCCCCCCGCCCCCGCACAAGCCTCCTCTCCTGATTGTTTTACTCTCTGCATGTTGGACTTCCTCTCCCTGTACTAACGTTGTACTCAACACCATGTCAACACCATAGCGACGTTGTACTCAACACCATGTACTCAACCCCTTGAAGCTTCCAGAACACAGAGAGAATAAGGGCCGGCGTGTCCACACTCACCTATGATCACGACCTTCAGGGGGTCACTGGGGGCTGACCACTCATAGGGGAAGTGACCAAAAGAGCCGTAGCACCTGTAGGCCCCTGCACGTGAAGATGTCATGGGACCCACGGAAAAGTGAGCTTGTCTGGTCCTGTCATGGAGCTTCTCTACAAGCTGCTGGGGGAGCCACGCGTCCCCCTCCCGGTGCAGGATAAACTTGTCGAACGTGAGTTCTGAGTGACAGCACAGGGTCACAGCCTGTCCCATGTGCACAAGGGAGCCTGGCTGGGCTGAGAGGGAGGGTTTTCTGAAGACCCCTGGGAAGAAACAGAGTACGTTCCCCTGTGTCGCCTGCTTCACGCCTTCCCCTGGTATTCCAGGAGTGGATTTCTTCCTCCCGCAGCCTGGAGATGTCCCGTTTCCTTCCTAAGCCTTTGTGCTGCAGTTCCCCTGGGCATCCTTGTCCGTCCTCTGGCTCATGACGTTCACAGTCTGGATCTCATGGCCTCACCTCGACCTGCTTTTCTGTCTGTCCTGACTAAGAGCCCCGGCCTCTCCGGGCTAGTCTGAGCTGCGTGGCCGTCCCATCCAATCCCACTCTCTCCTGTCCCTGATCTGTGTGTGTGTGTGGGGGGGTGACCGTGGAGGTGCGTCTCCTGACTCCTTGCCCACGTCTCCTCGAGCAGAGGAGACGACAGGCAGGGGACTGGGGAAGAACGTGGAGATGACGCGGGTATTCCCCGATCCCTGCCTTCACCTGCGCCTCTGAAGACCACTCCTGAGGTGACGTTGGCTAACCGAGGCTCTGACTCCTCCAAGACAGGGTTAACCTCCCTGGGGGCTCTCTGGAGCTGGGGCGAGGTGACATGGCCCCTCCTGGGTCCGCCCTGCCTCCCCAGGTAAGCAGCACCCTGCTCAGGCTAATCCCTGGGTTGACTCTCCTGCTTGTTGGCTCCTCCCCCTTCCCCCGGGGCTCCCATCCCCACGCCCTGTCCCTGCGTGCTCAGAGCGGGTTCTCCCTCTGAGGTTCCTGACTGGGGATGCAGCGGTAACTCTTGGCCCCACGGGCATCTGACTCGGACTGCGCAGGGTGCCCGTGGGCTGGGCTGGACGCCGCCTACCTGTGACGATGATGTCCAGGGCGTCGCTGGGTGCTGACCACCCCAATGTGTTCCTGTGGTCTTTGGAACAACTGTAAGATCCTGCATGGGCTCTGGTCACTGGGCTCAGGGTGACGGATTTGATGTTACGTGTCTGGAGCTCAGGAATGGGGGTCCCATTTCTTTTGGTTAGTTTGAATGAGGTAAACGGAGAGAAGGAATGACACCGAAGGGTCACGTTCCCTCGCAGCGGAACCACAGGGCTCGGCCAGGCTGACAGGGAGGGCTTGTCATGTCCGCCTGGGAGAGAGGGGTCACTGCCTGAGGGCTCGGACTGGGGAGCTGCCCCTCTTCTTATCCCCCCATGGGGCTCTTCCTCCTTTTCATTCCCCCAAGGTGTCCCTGCAAGCTGAGTCTCTGAATGCTCAGGGCCACCTGGTGTGGGACCAGAGACACAGCCTAACCCCACACAGACCTGCGGGTGTTCCCCCAACAAGGCGTATTCTTAGAGTGGTGATAAAATGCCTGTGCAAGGTTAACTTAAAACGCAATTCTAATAAAAGAAATACACATGGGAGAAAGGAGCAAGGTCTGCTTGGCGGAAATAAGGTGAAGCAGAACCCGGACATTTCGGTAAGTCCTCCTCCATCAGAGGTGCCGTAAGGGCCAGATGGCCCTGCTGGTGGGCCAGCCCCTTCCCCTGAGGCGGGTCTGGCAGGAAGCCCTGTAGACGCTATGGTCAAGGGCAGGCCAGAGGAGGCGGGGGCACCTGGTCCTAGGACAGCTGCGTGGGGTCAAGCGTCTTGTTCCCCGATTATGGAGATGATAGCCACTTGCCCTAGAGCACAGCCTTGGAGATTCACGGCAGCTTCATGTGGATGCAGACCTGGGCTTTGTAGCCTGGGGGAGCGATTAGGAAGATTCTAAAGGCAGAAGCAAGACCCTAGGGTCGCCCAGGGCTTGCTGCTCTCCTTGTGTTTCCAGAAGTCTCACCACTGGCCCTCCAAGTCATCCACAGCGGCCCCAACTCCTCTCTTCCCTCAACAACCCTGGCTGGCACCCAGAGAGTTTGCTCCACACTGTACTGAGGAGATGGAGGGGACTCACCTGCGTGTGTCCCGATCTTCTGGCCCAGGCAGAATCCTGGAAGGAAGCCACAAGAGAGGTCCCAGGTCCCCAGTGGATCCCATGCGCCCATGCACCCCTCCATGGAACCTGGCCCCTGTGCCAGGAGGAAGCCCAGATTTCCTCCATGGCCCCCCCCCCTTCCTTTCCAGGACTCACCAAGGCCCAGGAGGCTGAGGACTTTGGGGAACATGCTGCTGCTGCTGTTGGGCAGGAGATAGGAGCTGAGCAAAGCTGACAAAGTCACAGTATGTGGTCAGCAGGTTCTCCACACCCCAGTTCGTACGGTCCACAGGTGCCCATCACTCAGGAAGATGAACAACATGTTCTCACCATGAGGACAGCAGGTGCCGAGGGCATGACTCGAGCCACATCGCGGAACACCCTCCTGTCTAAAGCATTACGCTCAGTTTGCCTAGACTTGCAACTGTGTGAGTGTGTTATGTTGTCTCACTGCCCTTCTTACATTATAGTTACTATTCAGTTTGGAACATGCCCTATTCCCTGCCCAAGCTAATAAATAAATACTGATGTCATAAAACGCTTTGCAAAGGAATATCTCATGTGTGTCCAGCTAATATTTTCTAGGGCTCATGGTTGCTGTAGAGGATTTACTTCTGTTAAAAAAAGGCATTTAACCAGAAACTTGGTTACTTTCTCCCAGCTTTTTGAGGACTCATGACACGTAGGAATTGTGTCTATATCAGGTGTACATCTTGGAGTTTTTGTATATATGTACCCTTTGGAAAGATCACCATAGTCAAATGAGTTAACATACCCATCATCTCACAGTTTCCATTGTTTTCTGTGACTGTAGTGAGAACACCTGAGATCTACTCTTAGCAAATTTCCAGTGTATAATTCCTGACTTTTTCACTATGATCAACACTCTGTACATTAGGTCTCCATAACTTATTTATCGTGCAACGGAACGTTTACATGTATTGATCAATATGTTCTTCTTTTCCCAATTCCCAGCCTCTGGTAATCACTAGTCTCCCCCACTTTACTCGGACGTCAGGTCTCTAAAAATTTACTCTACATAGAAGTGAAATCATGCAGGATTTACCTCACAGTGTCCGGGGCCGTGTCCCTCAGCACGACGTCTTCTCGGCTCACCCATATTGTCTGAAAAGGCTGCATTTCCTGCTCTTTTATGTCTGAACAGTATTCTGTTGCGTGTCTAGACCCCACATCTCCTTTACCCACCATCCACTGGGGGACCAAGTCTTCGCTGTCGTGAATGACCCCGCAGTGAACCTCGTAGTGCAGGTGTCTCTTTGAGGCCCTGGTTTCATTTCCTCCGAACAGGTGCTCAGAGCGAAAGTGCCGGGTCCTATGAAAGCTCGACGTGCACATCGGCAGCTACAGAACAGTCACGGGGACGTCAGGTACAGCATAGGGAACAGTTGCCAAAGAACACAGGTGCGTAACCCATGGACATGGAGAACGCTGTGGGGACTGCCTGAGGGAGTTGGGGGGCGCTGGGTGGAGGGGGCAAGGGGGGAGAATTGGGACAAATGTAATAGCTGAAACAATAAAACATAATTTAAAAATGGAAGTTCTATTTTCAGTGTTTGAGGAACTGCATGGTCTGTGGCCAGCTGCAGGGTCTGTGGGTGGCCGTTTGTAGAGATCCACATGCCAGTTGCTGAGAACCCTCCCCATTTCTCTCTTCTCAGCTGCCCCCGGAGGATCCAGCCTGCAAACCTGCCAGCCAGACGGAGGCTGGCCCTTCAGGCAGTGATGGAAAGGCCGTGGGGGCAGAGCCCCCCGTTCCCGCACCCCCAGGAGAAATGGCAGGTGGAGGGCGTGTCCCTGTGTGGAGCTGGGGCAGTGGGTGGGAGGGCTGATGTGGGTAAAGTGAAGCTGTTCTTCTCGCTTTTTTCAAGGTGATGGTTCTTGGGTTTGTGCTCCAGAGGGTGCTGGGACCTCACACCTTCACCCCAGAGTGTGAATGTAGTTTTGTCTGTGGGTGGTGGTCAAATTGGGGCTCCCGTGGGTGAGCGGAGCCGGGACTTCTTATCTCGCCACCATCTTGCTGACACTGATCATTGCCGTTGTCTTGTGATGGGGAGCATGTTTTCCTGAGCTCATTTTTCCATTTGCAGAAATTATCTTTGCAGAATATCTTTTTGAGGAAACGCATACTCAAGCCCTTTGACTATTTTTTTTTGAATTGGACTTTTGTGTGTGTGCGCGCGGTTGAGTTATCTGTATTTACATATTCTGGACCAGGTCATTATCATGTATAATTTGCAAATATTTTCTCCAGTTTTGTATGTCATTTTTTTCACTCTCTTGATAGTGTTCTTTGATTCACATACATTATTATTTTGACAAAATCTAACACACTTATTTTTATTTATTGTGCTTTTAGTGTCATTTCTAAGAAAATATAAGTAAGCCCACACTCATGAAGATTTTCCACTTGATCTTAAGTTTTATAATACTAGTTGTTACACTAATCCATTTTGAGGACATTTTGGTGTGGGGTGTGTGGTACATATTCAACATCATTCTCCTGCATTTCTTGTGCATTCATTTTCCAACACCATTTGTCAACAAAAACAAGTCTTAATCAACACGGTGTGTGTTTTTCAAAGTCAGCCACCTGGTGAGTTTCCATCGGGAATGGAATCAAGAAGAGCCTGACCTCAACATCTGGCACCCCCTGTACTCAGCTGCCTTCCCCCGAGTCCTCCTCAGTGGGGTCCAAGAGGACACGAGGCATCCTGAGTATTGTTCAGCCTGCCGCCAAAACCTGTGTGACCTGAATACTGCTACCTAATGGAGCTGAACCCCATTTTGTGAGAGAACCCCAATGTCCATATTGGTGACCTACGATCATCTAGGCAGTTGGAGCAACATGGGATCAGAAGCTGCTGTGGGTGTTTAACCCGGTCAGTTGTGTGTCAGGGGGTGATGCACAGGGTGTCTTCTCGTCTGAGATCCAGCGTCTCCCTCAGGCAAGGTCTCCTCCTTTGGTTGGACTCAGGGCAGCTGGTCGGGCAGCTGCTGATCACGTCTTGAGGCAGCCACATCGCCAAGGCAACGCCTGTGCTCTAACACGTCAACAGCCACTTTGTAGGAAGTGCACTGCCTGGGTTAGCCTGTGGATCTTCCCACCCTACTTCATCACAGCTCACAGGGAGGAGGCTTCCTGTGGGAAAACAAGTACCTTTCAAGACCTAGTGCCTTCCGTACACAAGGCTCCTTTTTCGCGCTTCAGGTCTTTGTCTCCAGCCCCCTTCCCGGTGTTTCCCACCTACATTCCGTTTCCTCCCTTTGATGTGATGTGTACTTGTCTCTTTATTAAACTGAGGAAGTTCCCTTTAATTTCTGGTGCCGCAAGAGTTTTGTTGGCTTTTGTAGCATGAGTTTACTCTGGTGTACATTAGTTAATATGTGGGTTTATTTCTGTGATTTTGATTCTGTTCCTTTGGGCCTTGTCTCTCTTTTTGCAATTGTCATATGGTTTTAATTGTTATAGCTCTATAGTATACTTTGATATCAGGCAGTGTGGTGCCTCCAGCTTTCGTCTTCGTTTTTGAGACTGCTCTGGGTATTGGGAGTCTCTTGTGGTTTTGTATGTATTTTATTTTTGCCTTTTCTAAAAGGTTGTTTTTATTGATTATGCTACTACTGTTTTCCCCATTTTCCCCGTTTGCACCTCTCCCCGTTTGCTCCTCCCCTTCTGTGACCCCCCTTAGTTCATGCCCATGGGCTGTGCATCTGTTTTCTTTGGGTTCCACAATGCTTGTGCTCTCCTTACCACCCCCCTGTCTATTCTGTACCTGCGCAACTTTGCTTCACCGTCTCTATACCTCTTCTCCCACTCTCTCCCTTCACCCTCCCAGCTGATAACCCTCCAAATGACCTCAACATCTATGAGTCTCTTCCTGCTTAGATGTGTGTTCGGTTTGTTTTAGTTTTTTAGGTTCAGTTGCTGATAGTTGTGAGCTTGTTGTCATTTTAGTGTTCATAGCTTTGATTTTCTTTTTCCTAAATAAGTCCCTTTAACATTTCATATAATAAGCACTAGGTGATGAGGAACTCCTTTAGCTTTCCCTCGTCTGGGAAGCACTCTGTCTGCCCTTCCATCCTAAATGATAGCTTTGCTGGGTAGAGGAATCTAGCTTGAAGGTCCTTGCTTTCCATCACTTTGTATACTTCTGGCCAGTCCCTTCTTGCCAGCAAAGTTTCTTTGGAGAAATCAGCGGACAGTCTCATGGGAACTCCTTTGTAGGTAACTCTCTCAAGTCTGTCTTTCTCTTGCTGCTTTTAAGAGTCTCTCTTTATCTTTAACCTTTGGCATTTTAATGATGATGCGCCTTGGTGTGGACCTCTTTGGATCCAACTAGTTTGGGACTCTCTGTGCTCCCTGGATTTGTATGTATTTCCTTTGCCACATTAGGAAATTTTTCTTGCATTATTCTTTCAAGTAAGTTTTCAGTGTCTTGCTCTTCCTGTTTTCCATCTGGCGTCCGTAGGATTCGGATGCCGGCCCTTCTGGAGAGGTCCCAGAGTCTTCTGAAACTCTCCTCACTTTTTCTGAATTCTTGTTTCTTCATTTTGTTCTGGTGGAATGTTTCTTTCTTCCTTATGCGTTAAATCATTGATCTGAATCCCAGCTTCCTTCCCTTCGCTGTTAGTTTCCTTGGGTTTTTCTTTATTGCCCTTAGTAGTGCCTCCATTTCTTCCCTTACGCTTCTGCCGTATTCAGCGAGATCTTTGAGCCTCCTGACCACCCGGGTTTTGAACTGTGTGTGTGATGGGCTGGCTCTCTCCGCATTGCTTAGTTCTTTTCTGGGTTCTGTTTTGTACCTTCATTTGGGCCGTGTTTGTTGGTCTCCTGATCTGGGCAGCCTCTTTGTGCCTGTGTCCTAGGTAGAGCCGCCTCAGTTCCATTTCAGCCCACCCGTTAGGTCGTATGGGGTGGAGCCTGGGTCTTCTGCAGGGTGGGGCCCCAGGGGCTGGGTGTGCGGGGGAGGCATCTAAAAGGGAAGGGTGCCGTTGCTGGCTGACTTCTGGGGCTTGCCTGGCCCTTGCCTGGTTTCAGGCCGCTCTGTCCACTTCCCGCCTGTGACTGGCACACTTCCATCTGCCGTCCTGGTGGTGGTTCCGCTGTAGGTGGGGTTGTGTACGCTCGGGGCTCTGCTGAGAAAACCGCAATTTCTTCCACTGCCCCAG